GCGGGGGAGGCTGGCGGCCCCCTCCCCCCGACTCGTCCCGTCTCTGCTGTGGACGGAGGACCCGGCCCCGCAGTCCCCCGCGCAGGACATGGGAGCCGAGAGCCCACGGGAAGGTCGCAGCCTGGAGCGTCTCTGGCGCCCGGCCCCGCCCGTACGGGCCGGATGGGACCGGCCCCACCACCCCCCAGAAAGGGGGCCCAGACCCATGGGGGGACCCTGGGCTGGGACGGGCAGGTGGACTCTGGAAAGTGACGCAGGGAGTCTATTGGCGCAGTGTGGGGGGGGTAGGAAAAGTCCCTCGCGGAGTGCGAGTTGGGAAGGGTTTCCCCGCGGCAGGGGAGGCCACGGCCGCGGGGGCGGGCCTTGCGGCGGGGAGGGAGTCTCTCGGTGGCGGGAAGCCAGGTGCTTCGGGGGGAGGGGGGAGAGCGATCCAGCCCTGCAGCTCAGGGCGTGGGGGAGAGATGTGGGCAGGCGGCAGGGGAGGAGTAGTGCGGGGTCCCCCCCGGCCCAAAGGGCTGAGTCGGGGTCCGTGCCCCCAGGCGCTGGGGGAAGGGTGCGAGCAGACGGCAGGGGGGCCCGGAGGCTCCGGTCCCGGGGTGCAGGACGGACCTTGGGAAGCAGCCGTGTCTCCACCCCGCGCTGCGGCTCCCACGCCGGCTCCGGGCACATGGCCCGGCTGGCGGAGGGGAGCAGGGTGCCCCCGGCAGCTGGGGGTGGGGAGGAGGCTGGGAAAAGGCCCCACTGAGCAAAGAGCAGGGGCAGGGGAGGTCCCAGTGCTGGAGTGGGGGTCCCAGGTAACCCCAAGGGGGGATGGGATGTTGCCTGGGCGCTGGGTGAGAGACGGCTCCGTGCAGGGACAGCCCAGGTGCAAAGGCCCCATGGAGCCAGGTCTCCGAGCCCAGAGGCCCATGCCCCATAGATACGGGGGGGAACCCCCCCCTCGCAGAACCATGGGAGGAGCTGAAAGCCGTGGCGTGGGCAGAGCCAACCGCAGCCGTGCAGCAGCCGGCGGGGGCTGGGCGGACTGCACACACAAACTCGCCCGCTGCGGCCCCCAGGAACGCACCCGCCGCTGCCTCGCAGCCAGGACCTGGAAACGGGCTTGCCTCTTGGCACGCTCGCTCTGCGGCATGGCAGGGGAAACTGAGGCAGGGCACCTCAGGGTGCTGCTGGTGACACGCCAAGAGCCCCATGCTGGACCCAGAGCCTGTGCTGGAGAGGGAAGGTGGCAATGCAGCCCTGGGGGGAAGGGGGGCGGAAGTGGAGCAGGCTGCAGGGGCTATGGGGTCAGGCTGGGAGGGGTCTCCGCGCTGAAGGATTATGTGGGGCAGGGCTGGGGGGTCTCCTCCCTCACCGATGAAGAAGATGATCTTGCTGTCATTACTCCTCTCGTAGACAGCATCGATTGCCCCAAAATCTGTGGGGAGCCCCATCCAGAATCGCTGGGTCTGAGCTGGCTCTAGGGAGACCAGGTTACGGGCTATCTGCATCCTCCAGAAATGCTTCTCTGTCAGAGAGAGAGGACCCACACACTGAAAGGGGGCAGAGAGCACCCTCCTGAGCCCCCCCGCCCAAAGGGCTGAGAAAAGGCGACTAGCCTGTGGAACTCCCCGAGACATGAATTTGGACATTCAGCCTGCGGAAGAGCAACTGCTCTTGCAGGTTGCAGAGAGGGGCTGTTATCCTGCCAAATTCCCTCCTCCCCTTCCCAAAACCCCTCCAAGAAACACCTCCCCTTTTGCAACAGCTGCGGAGAGATATTGTTCACCTGCGGAACTCCCCCATCACAGGAAATTGTGTACAATGACTTGCAAACATGATGTTAACCAGAAGTTTGCAACAATTTGTCACTTCCTGTCTTCGGAAGGAATCCTGTCCAAAAATAAAATCCCAAACAAAAAACCAAAATACCCGTAACTAGCCAAACTCCCCGCCACATGAAACGCTCCCTCATGAGACTGTGGGCAAACTGTGCTGTTAAGCAGCTGACCCATATGCCTGAGGCCCAGAAAGCAGTGCGAGCCCATGGGAATCCGATAATTGTCAGACTGTGTCGTTAGCTGGTGGAACTCCCTGCCTCATGAAATCAGAGTGCGATTGCAACAAAAACCCTCTGTGGCCCTCTGTAGGATGGTAATGAGATTTCCTTAAATCCCATGGTGCAGACCGAGCGGTGGGAGGGGAGAACGTCATTAACCCACGGGACTCCCCACCACAAGATACGAGGCCAAGGGGGAAGCAACTCACTCTTGAAGAAGAAAACCTCCCCGCGGATGTTGGCGATGGCATCGAAGTGGGCCTGGCAGCGGGCGGGGGCGGGCAGGCGGGGCCTGCGGGGGGGACAGACACACACGAGTGGGGCACGCTGTACAGCCCGGGGGCAGGAGGGACAGGAGGGCTCCGGGCTGTGCTGAGAGAGGAAGGGGGGGAGTCAGGAGGGAAGAAGGGCCGTGGGGGGCCCCGATACTCACTGCTGGGTGGGCCTGTGGGGCGGCAGGTCGGGAATGGGGGGCTGGGTGGGGATAGGCCGGGCCGGCGGATCGTCTCCAGGGCGACGCTGCCTCCTTCCTGGAGCGGGGAGAGGACGGAGGCGTGAGAAGGCGGAGAGGGAGGGGGACGACAGGCCAAGGCGGAGACAGAGGAGACTGTGGTCGGGCC